GGTACAATAGGTTTTCAGGGGCCCCTCTCGTAATGGCATCAAAAGTAGCAATGCACTTTCTAGGGACTTATTCTAGGAAACTAATCAGGGATGTACACATATGCGATGCCCAGAAATGTTTAGAGCAGAACCATTTATGATATCAAATAAACTGGAAGCAACCTGTATGTCCGGTCACAGGAAACTGGTTTAATAAATGATGACAGATCCATGTGACCATATGCTCTACAGTCATTCAATACCACATTGCAAGTGCATGTTTATTAACATAGAAAGATGTTCACGATGTGCCAATGAAACCTCAGGGGACTGCAGTGTGGTTATTTCTAGGTGGTGGTGGCTGTTAGTCTCCATTGTGGTTAGGAACAAGGACTGTCTAGCAGATTGCCCGGACTGTCAGAGCACGGCCACTCACTGATGTCCCCTTGTGTGCCTCAGTGCTCCCTGCTAAAAAGGGGATGACACCAACACAGCCCACAGGTAGTTGTAAAAATGAATGTAGTTAACCTAACCCTGTGAGCAGGTTGGAACTCTTGGAAGGGCTTTGTTCGTGCCAGTCTGTATTATTATTTTTGAAAACATCCTTATTGAGATGTAGTGCACCTTCCATATCATTCACCCATTTAACGATGCCCAATCGTGTTTCGTATATTTACAGGGTTGTGTAGTCACTGCAGCCAATTTTAGAACATTTGTATCACTCCAGAGAGAAACTCGGCACCCATGAGCTGCTCTACCAGCCCAGCCCAGCCCCAGCCATCTGCCACCACCCCCCTATCTCTAGAGTCGGGCAGTTGTGGACATTTCATGGAGCTGAAATCCTACAGGGCCAGGTCTTTTGCTACTTGTTCTTTCACTTAGCACCAGGTTTCCAAAGGCCACCATGCCACTGCACGTGTCAGCGCTTTGTTCCTCTTCTATTGCAGACAGGCTTGATTATCGATGCCATCATAAAATTCAAAACATTTCTCTACAATGAAAACATCTGTTTTACAACCACCACGGAACATACTTATCCTTAAGCAGGTGGCCCCCCTCTGGTGAGGCTGAATGGCAGGGAGGGGGGGCAGCCTGCCTTGTTAACTTTTATTTGAATCCCTCAGGGATGGAGCCCACAGCAGGATTCCCAGGGGCCACACTTGCTGGAGTGTCTGTGGGGTGAGGTGTTCTAGACCAGGAAGTCATTTTAAGAGGTCAAGGCTTCACTCTCTCCTGTCACACCCGGGGGCCTGACTACAGAGAAGCATTAGGGCCAGCAACACAACAAGCTCACACCTGACCAGAGAGCACAGGTAGCCATTGTCTCATTCTCTCCAGAGCCACTCTCCAGAGCCACATTCCTCACTCAGGAGAGACCCAACTCCACTTCCACCTACACATTGTTTTCTTTCTCTGGGGCCAAGCTCAGCGGCAGAGCACCTTCCCAGCATGACTGAGGCCCTGGGTTCAATCTCCCAGCACTCCCCAAAAAACCAATTTAAAAATCTATTTTTATTGAATGATAACATTTTTGACAGTACACTCTAAACTTCAGTTTCTAGAATTTATTTATTTATTTTTAAAAGTGCGGCCAAGTACACATGACAAAATTTACCAGCTCTGCCACTGTTAAATGTACAGTTCAGTGGCATCAAATATGTTCCTAAGTTCTGCTCCGACCACCACCATTCATTTCTAGAACCCTTCCTCCTCTAAAGTTGCAGTTCTGTACACTTTCTTAAAACATTTTTTTTTTTAGTTGTATAGGGACACAATACTTTTGTTTTATTTATTTATTTTTGTACAGTGCTGAGAATCAAACCCAGTGCCTCACACGCGCTAGGCAAGTGCTCCACCGCTGAGCTACAGCTCTGTACACTTTAAACACTAACTCCCATTTCCCCCTCCCCCAGCTCTGGGAATCCATTATTCTTTTTTCTGTCTCTATGAATCTGACTAAAGTATCTCATATAAGTAGGATCATGCAATATTTGTCCTTTTGTGAGTGGCTTATTTAACTTATAAAGTTCTCTAGGTGCATTCAGGTTTTAGCACATTTTAGAAGTGACCTCTTTTTTTTTTATCAAGGTCAGATAATATTCTATTGTGTTCATACACTGCAGTTGCTTATCCATCTACCTGTTGATGGACACTTGGGTTGGTTCCACTTTTTTGCTATTATGAATAACACTGCTTTGCACGTGGGTGTACAAATATCTGTTCAAGTTCCTGCTCTCAGTTCCTTTGGGATTTACCTCTACTGCTTTTTTTTTTTTTAAGTAAAAACAACATGCCAACATTAAAAATAACAAAGGTATACAATCTCACCACTTTTATAGAACTGTAGTTCATTTCAGGGCATCATCTTTGATAGCTGTTCATACACGGTATTTTTAAAAACAAATGATAATGAAAGAACAATTTTCCAACTGCTATTTTTTTAGGTCCATCCTGCACACTGAACCATGGACTGAGGGAGGTGCTCAGACAGAGTCAAGTAATGTTTGTGACTCTTACTGTCCTGGAAAACAGGAAAGGGAAAGCATAATGACCTCTATAAATATCTAGATACATACAAAATGTATGCAAAGACAAAGACACATGAATGTGGGGAGAAAACTCAGACACGTACCTATTTCACTTAAACAGCTAGGAATTGAACTCTGAAAGAATGAGATTTGAATTAGAAGGGCCTGAAAGGCATGGGCAGATGGAGACCCCACACACACACCAGAATCTCAACATCACCTGTATGTATGAAGACAGTGATCAACACACCTGGACATAAATAGTAAAATTTAAAGCACACACATACAACCCCATAGTACTAAGATCCTCTCCTGGCCCCTAACTCCTAGACATGCAGTTTTCAAAGGCCAGGAAGGAGTTCCTGCAAGTGAACTCAAGATAGCTCCATGCACTCTGCCCTGGACTCCAATGGGCCTGGACTGTCCTACCAAGGTAGCCACCACCCCACGTCTAATCTCTGCCTAACGCCTCCCTGAATCAGACCTGGTCCTTGGATAGCATCTATCCCAGCTCCTTCTTGCAGAGCCTTGATCTTCCAGGCATGTTCTGCAATCATCACTGAACACCATGCCAAGAGCTTTGGGGACAGAAAACCCCAGGCTGGGCTGGTAGTCAGGGATCAGCAATCCAGGGTTAGTCCAGTTTGGGTCAATACAGCTCAACTCCCTGCTTTCCTGGTCCCTCCTTCCTGAAGCAGCAATAACAATCATCTTGCAGAGGCTGTGAGAACTTTAAATATGACCACATTCTTCAAGTCCCAGGCCCAGAGCCTGGCATAGAGCAAACCCACAAATGGTGTCAGTCTGCCGCCCTCTGCTCCCTAAGCTGTCAAAGGGGGGGACGTCTGATCCTGCACTCTCCTAGGGATACTGTGAGACAAACATTTTAAATAATTTCTCCAACGGTGAAAAATCATGATCCTCAACTAGATTAGTCTGGAAGCCACAGGTATTGACTTTTGAGCATACCACAGAAAATTAGCATATTTACTAACATAAACAGAGCACCTTGAAATGTGCAGCTCGGGAGCAGAGGGTGTCAATCATTATAGAGCCCTGAATTCACTCATTTATTTTCCCCTCTTTAGCCTCATCCCTTATTCCCAGATACCCACCCTTGCATACCTGTTCTACTGTGTCCATGTATCTTTTTATTCCTATTGATTTTTACTGAGGCAAAAGTGTATAAAGTTTATCATTTTAAGTGTACAGTCCTGTGGCAGTAAACACATTCATATTGTTTTTTTTGACAATTCCCACTATCTACCCCCAGAACTTTTTCACATTCCCCAACTGAAATTCCACATCCATTCAACCACAACTCTGCATTCCCCTTCCCCTCAGACCCCTCAGACTTCCATCTACACTGTCTCTAAGAATCTGACTACTCTTGGCTGGTGCAATGGCATACACCTGTATTCCCAGTGGCTTGGGAAGCTGAGGCAGGAGGATTGCAAGTTCAAAGCCAGTCTCAGCAATTCAGCAAGGCCCTAAGCAGCTTAGTGAGACCCTGTTTCTATAATAGAATACAAAAAGGGCTGGGGATGAAGCTCACTGGTTAAGCTCCCCTGGGCTCAATTCCTCGTTTTAAAAAAATAAATCTGACTATTCTAGGTACCTCTGTAAGTGGGATTATACTTTTAGATATTTTATGATTGGTTTATTTCATTTAGCATAATGTTTTCAAGGTTTATCCATGTCATAGCACTAATCAGAATCTTGTTGTATGTATACACCACATATTTCATTGGTTGCAGAAACATTTTTCTTAATGCACTCATCTGTTGGTGGGCATTTCAACCTGTGGCTATTGTTGTTTCCACCTGAGGCTATTGTGAACAATGCTGCTCTGAACATGGCATTCGCAGATACCTTTGAGCACCTGCTTTCACTTCTTTTATGTATATACCCACATGTGGAATTGCTGGATCATAGAGGGATCATATAGTGATCCTAATAAATTTTTTGAGGAAGCACCACACACAGAGGCAAGCACTATTTTACATTCCTACCAGCAATGAGTAAGAGTTCCAATTTCTTTACATCTTCCACAACAATTGTTATTTCATTTTTTTTAAATAGCCATCTCAATGTGTGTTTACTTTTTGTTTGTATGACTTCTTTCAAAATAAGCATTGTTGTTTTGCAAGTGATTTTTTTTTAGTTATAGACACCATACCTTTATTTTATTGATTTATTTTTTTATGTGGTGCTGAGGATTGAACCCAGTGCCTCACATGTGCGAGGCAAGTGCTCTACCACTGAGCCACAACCCTGGGCCTGTATGTGATGTTTTACTCAGGTGGCATTATGCTATTCATTTCACTGTGGCTATTTTCCCTCCAAACTGTTTTTAGGAATCATTCATTTGTCTTATGTACATGAAACTTCTAGTTCTTGCATGATGCTCTATCCTATGCATCAGCCATATCCATGAATGTCGAGAACCTACTATGTGCTCTTGACACAGCCAATTTAATTTGATTCCACACATAATCTAAGAAGCAATTTTATTACCATTCCCATTATATGGTCGAGGAAACTGACACATAAGAGTTAAGTTACACAGCTGGAAGTGGTGAAGCTGGAAGTTTAACCCAGGTTCTCTGGTACCAGGAGAGCCTACTGGGTAAGGTGCTATAAAGATCTACAGAGACCTGGCTGTAGGTAGAGGCCCTCTTCTGGGTGAGGACATGCTCAGGAGAGTTCTAGTTCCAACCTGCTCACCTCCCTTCCTCAGATATCCCTTTCTGTCTCTGTAAAATGAAGACAGAATGATCCCAATGTTCTTTCTAGACTCACCACTTGCTGATTAAACACCCTTTGGCTAGTGGGAAAAAAAACATAACCGAAGTCAGGTGTTCGTTTCTCTCCAGGGTTCCATGTGGGAGCTGCTCCAAACATGCTTTGGCATGTCTGTCTGGAGGCTCCTGATAGGGCTGACTATTCCCAGGGAGACAGAGCTGTGCCTCCACCCCCATCCCACCTCTCCTGAACTTTGCACTTACCATGATGAAAAATTAACTGGGCTAATGTTTCCCTTCCAAGGACAAGGACAACCTCTGCAAAGCAGGCCTGGCTGGGCCCCAGGAAACCAGGCGCCAGAACAGAGTTGCATCCATCAGTAGCCACTTACCCATTATCACCCAAACTGGGGAGGGCATGTAAGGGTCTCTTGGAACAGAGAAAAAGTAACTTCTCACTCTTCCTAGAGGGCTTATTCTTCAACTTTTCTCACTGGAGGAGAAAGATCTAGCCCAGAGACAGCACCATCAGATTCCCATGTGGGTCCAGCTTTTTATTTTTCTGCACACCCAGCAGACCCTGTCACAACAATGCTGCCTTGGAAAAGATTTGTGGGAAAGCATGCATGGTTCAGTCACACTAACTAGTTGGCTGACTAGTTTTTTCCTCCCCTCAGCAAAGTGAGGGGGTTGAACAAGGGCCCCTTCCAATGCCGTGAGTTTAGAAGGTGAGGTACACTCCAGGCCCTTCCACTCCATTTAATCCTTGAATCTCTCTTGGGCTGCTTCCCTCCCTAGTGCAAACTGGCTCTCTTTCGTGTAAGATGAAGGGTTGCACTGGAGCAGGATGCGTATGATGCTCTTTCTGAATTCACCACTATGCACCATAAGAACCCTATTAGCTTCATTCTTAAGGTGAAAGAAAAAAAGTGAAGGAGGGAAATAGCCAGGATCCAAAGCCACATTAATTGATGATGGAGCCCGAATTTGTATTCTGGCTGACTCTCAAGGGCTGGCCTTGCTGGATTTGAGGTTTGGGTTAAAATTAACCATTTTCTACAAGATAATGACTGCAAGGGTCCCTCTGTATCCTCTGCCCACTCAGGCACACCCTGACCCCACTCTTTGGTGCTTCCCTAGGTCCCTTGGTATCTTTCAGAGTTCCCAGACCTGCATTGAGATGCTCCACGGATGCCTTAGCCTGAACTCGGCTCCCTGCACCACACCACTCCTGGGGCCCAAGGTGTGATCTACTACTACTCCACAGCTGCTGGTTCTCTTTCAGTGAGGCTTTAACATTAGGGTCCCGCAGCAGACCTAGGAGGCTGTGAGGAAAGCTATTTGTAGTCTATGTCACCACAAGCAAACATTTCTTAAGCTCTCACAATAGTGAGCCTGTATAAAGAACTTTTGTTTTGCAAAGAGCTCTCTTAACAAAGTCACCTCTGCCTTGCTCTATGAGGCAGCTGGGTGCAATGGCAATTTCGGAATAAGGCTCACGAAGTCCTGAGCTCAAGCCCCAGCTCTGCCATGTGGGATCCCCAGAAGTCCAGAAATCTCTCCGTGTCTCAGGTGCCTCATTCATAGATGTGAAGAATAAGGACATCTACTTCAGGGACTACTGTGCAGATTACTTCAGAGGGCAGCACTTGGGCTATCTGGAATGAAGACAGCAATTAATAAATGTCAACTGCCTTCTATCCTGGTCTCTCTTCCTAAGGGCTGGGAATAAGACAGCAAAACGCAAGACTACAGCTGCCATCAACAAATAGGATCAGCAGCGCTGGAACCAGCTTCGATGAGGCTTAAGATTTCTCCTTTCGGGTCCCAGCAAGCAGGGAGTTCAGAGAGGAAGGAGAAGCGGCAGCCCCTGACAGCTAGTGGGAGGCCATCCTCTGTGAAAGGGCAAGTCCCCTGCAGCTTCTGAGCTGACTTTGTGGATCCGGCCACACCTCACAGGGCTTTGTAACTCCCCACCGGCACCAGGGTTTGGAGATAACTTCTTTCTCACCATGGGGGGTTTCCTGCTGTTAAAAACAAACAAAAGCCTTAGCCGCCGGCTGCCCGATAGGGGAGGCGGCCATAGGAGGAAGGCGCTGAGGGGCCTGTGGGCAGAGGCCCCTGAATTCTGCTGGTGGGAGAAAAGCCCCACAGCTCTCCAACGTGCCACGGTTTCCCGGCTTCCCACCTAAGCTAACTTAAAAACACATCAACTTCCAAGTAGTATTCTCTGCCCCACACTTTTTTGTTCATTGGTTTGGAAACAAAGTTCCCTTTCCTAGTTATTTGGTATCGAATTTCGGATCTTTCTGTAACACGAGTTTTTCTAATACCCCTTAAATTTTCCCCCAAATAAATTCTAAATCGCCCCCCCTTAATTTCTTCCTGAACTTAATGGATGTCTGCGAGGCCCATTTTCTAACAAGCGCTTGGCTCACAGGGCCCAAGAGACCCCTGGCTCCAGCAATTGTTCAGGTTGTCACTGGGGTACCCAATAATCCACTTTTAAAAGTCTACTTTCCCCCCTTCCAACTCCCTCCTCCGCACGCAGCTTCGGGGCTGTCAGTCGGAGTGATCTCATCGCTGAGAAAATAAAAACAGCCCCCAGGTCGTTGGCGCCAGCCAAGGCCCCAGACCGGGATCAGCGCGCCCCGACTTCCAGGGCCTCCAACCTTCCGCGTGCGCCGCGTCTTGGGTCCGGGTCTTCTGGGGGCACCGCCGCCAGCCGCGAGTCTAACCCTCTCTGGCCCGCAACTGCGACGGAGCTTCTTCAGCCTGGGATCCCAGAGCGGACGCGAGGCCCGAGTTCTGCCTGCCCGCCAGGGGCCCCTCTCGCCACCCCACTCCCAGAACTTCCTCTCCACGCCCGCACGGCTACGGGCCCGGGGCCTCAGCAGTGCCGGGTCGCCCACGTGGGCGTGTTGGGCGCAGGGCGAGGGCAGGCGGGTGTCCTCCCCGGAGCTGGGGGCGGGCAGGGCGCCCGGGAGAGGAGGCGGCGGGGCGCGGGGGAGGAGGCGGGGAGCCCCGGCGGCGAGGGGGCGGTGACAGCGCTTGGAAAGGAGGCTGCACGCGGATTTGCATGAAACATAGACTGGGAGCGGGCGGGAGCGGGAGCGGGAGCGCGGCGCACGCCCCGGACCTGCCCAGCGAGCGAGCGAGCGAGCCGGCAGGAGGAGGAGGAGGAGGAGGAGGAGGGCAGCGGGGAGGCGAGGCCGCAGAGGCGGAGGGATCTGCGCATCAAAGCGAGCAAGGCGAGCAAAGTTTGGCTGGGGGCTGGACTTTCCTTCCCGGAGGCGGCACCCAAACAGCCACTCCGTGCGGAAACCCAAACTTTCTGCTGCCACTCCGAGCCTCGCGGCCGCCGCCTCCGCCCCGCGATTGGGGCCTTCTCGATCCCGCGCCGCTGCCGTCCGCCGGCCCGTCCGCCCCGCGCAGCTCTTCTCCTCGTCGCGGGAGCCGCTCGGGCGCAGGGCGGCGCGCCGAGACCCGCAGGCTGCAACGCCGCGGCCCGGCCCGGCACACCGGCAAGTTCGCCGAGAGTTGAGGCGAAGTTTGGGCTGCGCGGCCGGCCCCGGGCTCCGCGCCCCCGGCGTCCCGCCGCTCTCAGCCCCGCCGGGGGCGCCCCTCTCCGCCTGCGTTCCCTCCCCAACCATGTCGTCCATCCTGCCCTTCACCCCGCCGATCGTGAAGCGCCTGCTGGGCTGGAAGAAAGGCGAGCAGAACGGGCAGGAGGAGAAGTGGTGCGAGAAGGCGGTCAAGAGCTTGGTCAAGAAGCTTAAGAAGACGGGGCAGCTGGATGAACTGGAGAAGGCCATCACCACGCAGAACGTCAACACCAAGTGCATCACCATCCCCAGGTGGGGGCCCCTGGAGGACCAGGGGGAAGCTCCGGCCCTGCCCCCTGGTGCGGCGGGGCCGGCCCGGCTGGGCTAGAAAGAGAAGGAGTGCGTGTGTGTATGTGTTTAAGGGGGGGCTTGTGAGTGCGGCCAGGGAGAGAGCGGAGAGACCCCAAACAAAACCTTCTCTAGATTTGCCAAGATTGGGAGCCTGGGGCTTCCACGCGGCACTTTGATTTCCAGACTTCACATTCGTTTTCCCTTCCGGAAAAGGGGGGTGCTTCTGGGTTGGTCCCCCATTCCTGGAGCTGCGGGCTCCAAGTTGAGGCCCGCTTTGTTCGGCTCCGCGGGCCGAGCCCCTCCTCCGCCGCCTCCTCCCGCCCCGCGGCTGCCCGCGCTCGTGGAGGTGGTGGTGTCTCTCCCTTTCTTTTCTTCAGTGCTGTCCCCCCATTTCTTTCCTCTACAGGAATGCAGTCGGTACAGCTGGGGCTGTGGGTGAGGAGCGGGAGCCTGGTGATTGACAGATTCCTTCTTCGTTCTTTCTTTGCCTTCGGGATTAGCATTTTTATCGAGTATTTTTAGACTCGGTTGTGCCAGTCTCCCGCCCCCTGTGCATGCACGCACTTTAGTTACAGCACAGAGCTCTGACTTTCAAGTGGGAAAGACAAGTGGCAGAAAATAGGGTCTTCTCCCCCACTTCCCACCTCACTTCTGACTTTTTGCCTTCTTTTTAGTCTGAGATTGCATATCGATAGAAGAGGCTAGCGTCGGACTGATAACAAAACATGCCCCAGTGCGGGCCTCGTTTGGGCCCTCGCATTCCTGTACAGCCCTCCTTCCTAAAGCGCTTTGCCATCTGTCCGGACCTCCTTTATGCTTCCATCGCGCTAGCTGGTTCGAGCTGGAGTTCACAGATGGCTGATAGAAGGGGTCAGTGACTTCTCTCCACTCTCAGGGCCTTCCTGAGCTTAGCTGTGCCTGGCAGGGCATCGGGGGCCGGGGTACCTTGATCTCCTGCTCCTGCCTCTCAGTCCCCTTGAAGTCTGATTCTGAACCAAGGTGGGGAGACAGAGAATGTGCGGTTGGGTGGGGGTGGGTTTCTTGGGGGGTCCCGGGCTGCAGAAGGATGAATAGAGGACTCCTCAGGCCTGAGTTTGGCAGGGATTATCCTTCTTTCTGGGCCAGGGGTAGACTCCATCCTTGGCCACCTGCTTGGGGCAGCTGTGCAAAAGCTGCCAGCCGTTTCAGGCAGGCACAAAGCAACATCTGTCCATGGGAACCCAGGGCTGGCCTTCCCTGGAAATAAATGCCACATATGGTGGGAATGCTGACTTAAAAAATAGTTTTTTAAAAAACTGGGTGGATCCAGTCAATAAAGGGGGGAGGGAAGGCGGTGTGCTGTCTGGGGAGTGCGCCCTGGGCGAGTGATCAGGAGCCAGAATTGACTTCAGAGGAGGTGATGTGATGGTCAGAGAAATCTGGGTTTTGGTCTCAGGTCTGGTTCTTAATTCTTTATTCTTTTGGTGGGGGCTGGGGAGGTTGGAGTGTGTGAGTTGATACCTCTCCATCTGAGAAGGAGGTCTGTAAAAGCTGCCTACTCCTAATCTGCCTGTGTGCATTGAGGACAAATTCTTCATGCATTGAAACAGAGAAAAAGTGGTATCAATTATAAAACACACAGCTGTGGAAAGTGTTTCACAATTTACAAAGCGCTTTCACATGGTTTTATGAGGTCCTCGAAGAAAGGCCGAAAGAAAAAAAAAATGAGCTCCAGAAAATAGATAATGCAGGCGAAGACCATCTTGTTTTTAAAGTAGAGAGAACTTTGGAGGAGAGAGGTGGGAAGGCTGGGCCTGGCAGAGGTGGCATTCTGACCGAGGTGCTCCTTGGGACCCCAGGCTGCTCTAGACTTTTGACATTCTGAGCAGCATTCCCTGCTGAGTGCTTAAGCACCCTAGGCCTGGGGTAGGTGGTGTCTCTGCTGGGAAGGTGATACTTTAGCCACTGCGCTGATGACAGCTTGGAGAGACACCTTGCCTGGGTAAAAGTTTGCCTCCT